TGCATGTCTAAGAAATAAAATAAATGGAAGACATGTGAAGTCCGCCTACTTAACTTATATTCATATAATTAAAATAAATATGTTTTTATGCCATTTGAAATGTTTGGGATCATCATATAAGTAAAATGAAAGTCAAGCCGTTTGTATTTAGGGCTTCACTTCAAAATTTCAACATGTACCCTCAGGTATTTCTCAAGGATTTCATCTAGGCTCGCTCCTATTCTTTGTATATATATATATGATATTGGATTAAATGATAGTCAACATCTTCCTTATGCTGATGATGCAAAATATATAAAATTGTATAGTCAAGAGATGACTGTCTCAAACAGCGGCAAGATTTCTTTACTTTAGAAAACTGTTGTGTTGCTAAACAGTTATATGCTATCATTTTCACGAAAAGTTAATCAAATGAATTTTGAATTCTATCTGAATGACATCACTCTAAAAATTGTTATTACAACACGAGATTTTGGCTTAATCGTAACTTAAAATGATCTTTTTACTCTCATAAAGACTATATGATAAGTTACGAGTATAATTAAAGCTTTTCAATGTTTGAGTTTCATTTTAAGAACAATAAAACCATTTAGTATGTGTATAACCCTCAAATTGTTATACTTTTTGTTTGTATGTTTGTATGTACCTTTAATATGAACAGAATAGAAAAAGTACATAACATTTTTGCAATAGCTTAACTATCGTTATAACACTGAGAACGAATCGTATAATGATGCTTTGTGCAGACACAAAATGCTAAGTATTTTCAACATACATAAAATGCTAGGTCATCTTATTCTGATATATAAAATTCTAAACTTATTAATAGAATTATCGAATATCTTGTCTATGATGTCATTTCCATCAATCGTTCGTTTTCCTATGCGCTCCTCACGTACGTTACCACTATTTATTCCCCTTCGGTTTCATAAAAACTATTCACTTAACTCGTTCCACCAACATGCATAATAAGTATTTTCAAAAATAGATCTTTTTAGCATTAGTTTTAATCTTATTAAAACAAATTTAAAACAGGTTTTGGAATAAACTTGTTGCTTGTTTGTTGTCTCATAAAGTAAATAATATGGTTTGTTTAATATAGACTTATTGTAACTATTTCGTGTTTTGGCCATATTATGTAAATGTAAAATGTAAATTATATATTTGAAATATGACTGTTTGTTGCCAAAATATATTATATACAGGAGGCGCTGTGGTCGAGTTATAAATAATATTTATATCAATATTAGAGAAAGTCTGAATTCGGAAAGAAACTCTTCATTGCCCCACCTACCGGAAAGGACAGACGAACGTCTGCCGGGTTAGCTGGTTAAGTTTAGTAATAATAAAAATTATATAAGCTACTGTAAAAATCTACGATATTATTATAAGTTAGATACGATTATATGATATTTATCTACATTTATGTACGGGAGCTAAGCGTTCGACGTAAATTTCTCAGTAAGTGAATAATTGAAATTTGTGTCACAAAGAAAAGATTGGTGGGGAAAAGTGAACAACAAATTAATCTTTAAGATGTTGCTTACCAGGAAATGGAACAGAATATTTGGGAACGTAATAATTACCTATGAAGTTTTATCTTAATGTATTGTATAATATATATATGGATCTAGAAGTAGTGCCATAGGTGTGAAATATTTTGTCTCGTACCGCTAATCCAACTACAGAGAACAATTACAAAAGCTGATAAAAGTAAAAATTATAGCCAAACCTTTTTTTGAGATTTATAAGTAATTTAGTTACATATTTCATATTTGTTTAAGCTTACGTGTGCTCATTTGAGCAGTGAGATGTATAGACATTCTTTAAATGCACACTTTCTCAGGTGAGTTGCAGTTTCTTACATTATATAACAGTAGCACAAAGAGAATCTTATTCATGTCAGTAACGTCTTTTTAACAGACACAATACCAAGATTGGTACGGCAATATGTGACATATTGTCCATTCATAGCTTTCTCCAGGATCTATATTCGCATTATAGATTTTTAATAACACGCACAGAAGAATATATCGCGTTGTAATTTGACCATTTACGCAATCTCCTATCTAGGATATTGGTAGATAACAATGTAGTAATTATTTGAGTGGTTGTTCTTCTAGAAATTATTTTTATTTCTGCGAATTTAATTGTTTTACACGTGCATAGTTGCATTATTAAAAACAAACAAAGTGCATTTTAAAAATTAACACATTTACAAAAAACGATAAGTAATTATCTATTAAAAATTCATTTGTATTTCTTTGCAAAATATGCATGATAATTTCCATCGACAATTATTTACTACAAAGTGATAATTGAACATGTTGATGAATATTATAGTTGTTAAGACCAAAAAAGTTATTAAATTATTCAAAATTGACAGGCGTTTATGTCTTTTGTATGGAAATAATAGTTCCTACTATATAAGTACCGTATTAGAATATAATTATTTTAATAAATATTAAATATGTCTTATGAAAATCGTGTTTTATCTTCATGTATGATAATAACATGGAGTCACACCTGTTATCCCCGAGGGATTAGGCAGAGGTTAAAGCGCGCAGGCCGCGTTTAGACAAAAACTATGGGTTTAGATGGAAAACTGTCAAATATTTACTAGCTAGCTACCTATGAAGTGATACATATCATCAGCTAGCTTTTCGTCTACACAAGCACAAACATAATATCCCCTTAGTCAACTTTTACAATAACACTATAATAATGGTAAACTTGGTTTATCTTACATATTTAATATTGATGTGTAGTAAATTGCTGACAAAATAAAAAAGTTACATTGTTAGCAATTTACTGTATTCATATTCAGTTTAAATATGTATAAATCAAAGATTTTCCACTTAAGTTATCCGAGATTTTGCAACGTTGTTATATAAGAGTGAAACTCAGGTCAAATTTGCTTCTTGGAACGTAGCTAACCTTAAGGCCATACAGAGATTCATTATTGAATAAAATTTTACTATAAAATTCAAGTATATTTCATTGATTTATTTTTATTCCGTCCTTTAATATCACATAATACCAAAAATTTTATATAGATAACTCACTTTGTATATCAAAAGATCCTTAATTACCGTTATCACCTATCAAAATTCTACTGCTGGACATAGGCCTCCCCCATAGATTGTTTTATAGGGGAGATATTAGTTGTCACAATTGGCAAACGAGTTGGTAATCGCAGCTTTTATAGTTTTTATTAAAAAGACGCTGAATATGGTCGTTTGTTTCCCTCTATCGCCTCTTACGATACCCACGGGGCGGTATAAGGTGGTGAATATTCTTACACCGCCACTACACGGTTGGTGTCTAATTAGAATTAATAATTATGCCACTTTGGGAAGATTGAACTAGTAGAACTGTTTGCTTGATTTGTGTTGTTGAATCAACCAACAATCATTATTGTTTTTAAGTACATTTGACTTTGGAACTTTAAAAAAACATAATTATATTTCAGTGTTTTGTCTTTTTTATTGAAAATATTATCTTTTTATTGAAAAAAAATCGTTAAAGATTAGAGTCTTTGCACTATCAAACAATTTACAATTTTAAAAAAAATCTGCAACAACTATATAATTAAGCCTATCTCAAAACGGTATTTTATCATACAAGTTATTTTTAATTAAATGCAATTATCGATATTGGTAATAAACAGCCCCTTTGCAATTGTAAACATGAAAATTATACAGCAAACATGATTTATTTGGCCTTAGGGTTTAATTGTTGTAAATGGAGCTGGCGGTTTTCACCGTACTGGTGGCAGTTGCCCAACCGATTGGAAAGGGAGACAGAATCGGTTTGTGTTGGTACAAGGCCCACACCTATTCGTTACTGGTTTACATTATAAAAGGTAGCATTTCGACCGCCCTAATTGAGATTTATACTTAATCAAAATTTCGCAACTATGTAATTGACAACCAGTGAAAGTATACGAAAAGGCAAAGGAACTGATTTTGAAATAAGACTATACTCGTATGGTGTACAATGCTTTAAGTCTAAAAAGGAAAATAACTTATATATTTATATATATAATATTTTCCTTTATTTATCAAAGAACGTTACCTCTACACTTGGATTTTTTCCTGTATCGTAGAGGCAGTTTATAAACATAAATTGCACAAAGACAAGCATCCAGACCCGGAACAATTATTTGTAGGCCATACAAATACTTGTTCCGTGCGGGATTCGAACCTGAGGCCCCCAGCGTTGTAACTCATTGCTAAGCCACTGCGCCACAGAGAAATTATTTTAGATATTATCAATTTAGTATTATAGTACTCTTAGCTGGTAGAACTAACTATCTTATAATTGGTCAAAATAAAAATTAAAGTGACAAGGTTAAGAGTTGAATATAGAGTTTAAGCCATTTATCTAAAGACAAACAATTTAATTGCTAATGGTATTTATCAATAACATGTTAGTTAAGTATTATAATAATTAGTTGTTAAGTAAATAAGTAAACTCTTAGCTGGTAGAACTAACTAATCATTGGTCAAAATAAAAATTAAATTGACAAGATTTTTGATAGTAAGAGTTGAATATAGAGTTTAAGCCGTTTGTCCAACAATGAACGGTTATTATCCTGTAAATATTATCAATTGCTTATTTATTAATGACCCTTTGAAGGTTATCGAACAAATGCTAATCAATAAAGTTATGGCTGTAACGATTTCCGTGAATGTCCTGTTTGGTAGAAACAGTATCCGGTTTATGTCACCACATATACAAATATAAAAAGGATTTTAAAATCAATACATTTGTATAACTTAATGTAACTACCTGTATTATGTTGCATTCAGTTACAAAAACAGTCAAAATTTGTGTCGTAATAAATTATAACATACTTTTTGTTAATATGTAGCGCACACCAAAATTGTATAAAAATTAACTTTTTCTTATTGATTTCAATTTAATTAATAATATATAGCATAATTCTTTAATAATTTTCTATTTTATTGTTTTATATATATGATATTAAGTCTTACCATAAGCGATGCAAGCAAGTAAATACGCGAACTGTACACAACTCCTCATGATTGCTTGTTTATTTGTTTGCCTTCTACGTATCGCGACGTCCGCGAGTTTTACTATGCCTGACAGTACTGGCGAAGCACGCGTTGGGAAGCCAGCGGCCGTCGCTACAGCGTAACTTGGTTATGTTCATAGTATAGACGTTAATTTCACCCAATTCTGTTATAGATTTAAATCTGGACAGCGGCTTTAGATGCATGGCAAGGCGGTTACAATAAAATCGCCTTATTTAGTTAAGATATTCCTATAAACTATTTCTTCTTATTCTAATATTTGTAAAGGTACTGGTTACTTTTTTGTAACATTTAAGTGAATCATTTAGTAACAACTCACCTGGATACGTGAAACACTAGGTTCCAAGTATTTAGGCTGTTTCAAATATCCAGGTGGAGTGTTACCAGTCGCAAATCACTCAATAACTTACAATTGTGGATCAAAATGTAATTCCCAATGGTCTATTATTATGTATAAGTTACATAATATGTACCTTCAAACATCTTTTATTGTTTAGTTGCAGAAACTGGTAGAATGGTAACAACTATCCAGATCTACTATGCGTTAATCGCTGTTTTATTAAATTAATGTTAGTTGTTGTTAAATGCTTATTTACGAGATCATCTATCAAAAATATTTTGCCACAATAATAGCATTTTTACTATAACGATTTAATATAATTAAGTTAATTTCTAAATGCAGACACTACTATGAATGTATCACCTGTTAGTATTGAGCTCGAGTCACTTATTACGAAAACTGCCATATAACTCGCGTGGCATGCTTTGTATGACAATTTCTTATATGGATTTAGCGCACCTAGAAAGAATAACACTAGAAAAAACATGAATGTTTCATTATTAAAAAGGTAAGTAAAAAAAAGTAAAATTAAAAAATTTAAATTAATCGATTTTATTAAGAGTACAATTTTTATTTTGTTAATCGTGTTATCATAAATTTACGAAAAGCTTACAAATTTAAACGAGATCATTATTGACTTTATCATCATTAATTTCAATCATTATTATCGTTATCATCACAGCCTTTCACAAGTTCACTACTAAACATTGGCCTCTCCCAAGGAATATCACAAAGCAGTTTCCTGAGCCACCTGCATCCTTCAAATTCCTACATCTCTTAACAGGTCATCACTCCATATAGTAGAGGACACTTTGCTTACCGGTACGTCGCTGCCACTTAAGAACATCCTTTCTTCCCCATCGATTGTCGGTTCTTCTAACTATATGATCAACTGCGCTATGATGGTTGCCCTGGTTTTACTGCAAATATCTTAATTACGAAGTCTGTCGTGCAAAGAAACTCCTCTGACTACTTGCCAGAGATTCATCATACGACCAGCGGTGAAATCACAAATTATTATACAAAATTTCAATATAAAATTTTATTAGAGCAGCCAAATTTTAAACTTGAGTTCAAATCTATACATATAATAAATCTGTAGAAAAGTCGTGTTTGCAATTCTAATATTTTCTGGAAAAAACAATTCCAGGGGACTTTTAAAGGGCACTGAGGTCAAATTAGTGGTTTTTAGAATTTTTGTCTGTCTCTCTGTCTGTCCGTCTGTGTTTCACGCAAAAACTGCTGAACATATTTCTATGAAATTTTGTGTGTAGATAGTTAGGGACCCGGAGCAAAGGCAAAAGGCCTAAAATGAGTTTTAACCGTTGCGTTATAATTTTAACTACGCCGACAATCTAAATTTCACTTTATCAAAACAGTGCCATTTAACGTAAAATCGAAAAAGTGGTAACATTTTACCTCCAGTTACTAATGAATAAAATAAAATATATAATTTACATTTATATTTTTAATAATTTAATTCATAATTATTTGAAAATTCTAATGTTCATTTTTCAGTTCTTTCCTTATTTCATTTTAGTAGGAATTAATAAAGTTTATAGTAACTAATTACTACTTAAATAGTAGATAATAGTGACATCTATCGAAATTCATAAAATGTGAGATGTTTCTAAGTTTCATTTCTAATCTATAAAATAGTTTTGATTATCTATAAATAAACAGATAAAACTGTAATTATTGCAAAACTCTCACTATCCAATAGTTTAAATAAAGAAATTTTTATATTTAAGTAGTTAATTATAGCACGAAATGGTGGTATCTAGTTAAATTTAACATTGTTTTTTGATTATATCATAATATAGCCTGACCAAATCAATGAATAAAGATCGTTTGGCGATATTAACAACTAAACACAATATTGATATTTTTTCATATTGTTATATCGTAAAATAATTTCATTATATACCGTTAGCAGTGCTAACAGCGTATTTTTGACAGAAGCAGAATTTTTAACAAAATATAATTTATTCCTAATTGATGTATTATATAAATCTCGCACCTCAACTTATTGTCGCTGATTACTATAGGGTACAATTTTTGTTTTTATATATAATCTCATAATACCGCCATATACCTACTGCTAAATAAACTAATAATAAGTGATGAAATTATTGACAATTCTATTGAATACTTTTTTCTTCCAGCATCAAAAATTGGCAGACTTAAAATATCCAAACCGGTGTCGGGATGATTTATCGTTATTGTCAAAATGATTAACAGAACTGTGTAAATAAAACTGTGATTATTACAGAATGTCTTTAGTTGAATATGTTGTGTGTCTATCAGTATAGCAATATTTCACCAACTTCTTTTTGTATCAAAACCGATGTAAGTAATTGAAAATTAAGTGGACTGTAAGATTTTCATATCTAAATGATGGAATAAATTGATTGAATAATTACAATACAGATGGGGTTCACAAAAGTGCAAAGCTTATTTTCAGTGTTTATGAGTTTAAGTAAGCAAATACGAGAGCTGTGCAGCCCGCCGTAAGATTTCAAAGCACAGGAACATCAGAGTTCGATTCCCGTGAGGCCCAATGAAACGACTACTACAACTACCCACCTATTGAGATTTTTGTGACAGTCCCAGTTTCATAGCTGACATGAGTATATGAACAGGCTTTTGCGAAAAAGTACTATAAATATTAAAGACAGCAAATTTTAAACGCATGTTTATTTTAATTTTAACAATGAGTAAAACTATATTGATAGATTCTTGAAAGTTATTCGGTAATCGAACCGATCGTAAGCAACTTAAATTCAATATCGTGAGAAAGCCTACATATTTGAGAAGTTAAAAATATATTTCGGAAATAATTTTAGGTATACTTATGTGAAGTCAGTCAACCCGCGTTGTAGTCAACTTAATCAACTCTTTTTTGTCCAGTTGTGGGATGTATGTAGGCTGCTACTTTTTTACTTTTAATAGGCCTATCCACTGTTGATCATAGGCTTCTCCCATTGTTTGTCAAATAGGTCGGATATTTGCAGTAGTAACTACGCTTGGCGAGTGGGTTGGCATCCGCAGCTTTTTATTACTCTGCACTGTTATCAGGATGCTGCCATCCATCTAGTGTTTCAGTTTCCCTTCTGTCGCCGTCTGTTCGCCGCCTCTACATTGCTAATATATATCTACTGCTGTTCGTCATATCGATTCCCTCCATAGATTATGAAATAAGTTGGATATTAGCCGTTGCTGCCACGCTTTGCAGGCGGGTTGCTAATTGCATGTTTCTATTATTTTGAGCTGTAATCAGAAAGACGCTGCTGCCCATCTTCTGTATATTTCTACTCCCGTTCAAGAATATAGTCCCTGTCACATGTTCATCGTGAATAGAACTATATTTATGAAATTTTAACTTTAATTGAAGTAGTTTTAATGAAATTTCTAAATTGAAGCCATCGCGAGCGAAGCTGCGGGTAAAAAGCTAGTATATAAATAATGATAAACCATTATTGCAGTTTTTGAAACTAAGAACAAATAACGCTTCTAATTTTATTTGAAATTATCACAAATTGAATCTGATTTATGGACAACAACTACGCGTACGCGCGCTCCTTTATGTGCGATTCAATTTATAACGTTTTTGCCGACCGAGAGACCCTTACGAATGTGTCTGTGCGTAGTAAAATAGTAAACGTTAGATATTTATTAATGACTTTCAGTTAAAATAATGCATTACCATGCATTTTGAATTTAAAAGATATAAATGATAGAATGTTTGAGATTTTTTTAGTTAATTTTTCTTCACCATTTACTTTTTTTACCATGCGGCTCAACTAATGGTAGGTGACTACCGCCGCCAAAGAACTACTGGAACACCAGGGGAACCAGGGGAATTGCAGATGCGTTGCCGGCCTTTTAAAAAGGAGTAAGCTCTTTTCTTGAAGGTCCCTAAGTCGTATCGATCCGGAAAATCGCTGGTGATAATCGATTCCACTGGGAAGTTGTGCGAGGAAGAAAACATCTTCTAAATCACACAGTGGTGGACCGCCAATCATCCAGATGGTGTAGATGGCATTGGCAGTTCTGCCGCGATGTGCGTTCGTGAAATTTGGCGGCTGGGATTAATCAAAAAAAATGCAAAGGGATGCCAATGAGTCGAGCCGATCGGAAAGGACTCGGTCGTCGACGATTCGAGCCGCTCTGCGCTGGAGCTGGCACTGGGAAGCCCCTGCCCAGAGATGGGAACAGTATTCCATGTGAGGCCGAACCTGCGCCTTGTAAAGTTGTAGGCGGTGTGCTGGCATGAAATACTGTCCCGCTCTGCTGAGCACGTCAAGCTTTTTAGAGGCCAATTTGGCCTTCTCTTCCAAGTGACCACGAAACTTCACGTCACTCGATATGTCGACTCCGAGGATTCCGATACTGGCTGAGGCAAGAAGGGAAGTGCCTTGAAACTGAGGAGATACGACAAAGGGGTTCTTTTTAGCGGTAAACACGCAAACTTGTGTCTTCTGGGGATGGAACTGGACTAGATTTAGTCGCCCCCAATCAGAGACTTTGTTCAGCAAAGACTCGACTTCAGGCACAAGTTTGTTCCGACACTCGGCGACGTTTTCCCGAGAAATATTGGCACGGCCGGTGTATAGAGCATCACCAGTGCTGTCATCCGCATAGCAATG